AATTGATGAGTTTTGAGCACTCTAACACTCCTATGGTGTACATGCAACCATATAAACCTTGGATCTATGTTTTCTCTTTTATACATGCAAATACTCAATATTCCAAGGTTTCATCCTAACTAGCATAATATGAAGCACCTATACTACAAAAGACTAGTTAGATAACATACCATTTGATGGAGCTTGAAGTCTTGAACCATTAAGAGCATAGTGCCCCAAGTGTTGCACCTCAAATGGTTCACATAACACCACCAACAATTGGAATAACTAGAGAATAAGGTTACTTTGGTTCACACTATGAAATTCGGCCCTTGCCCTATCTTATGTATGCACTAGTACCATTTCATGAACCATAGACCTCTTTATATAGTGTGGAGGATTAGGGTTACATTCATGTAAACCCTAATACCCATGACCTTTCATTTCCATAGGATTCATGGGTTAAAAACTCCATGGACTATCCATGCAAGCTTAGCCCAACCTAAATGAACTTGGCCCACCATATATATAAGAGTCCATATTTAATTAGTTCCTTTTGATCACTAAATTAATTCTAGATCAATACTAATTAAATAATATGATTTCATATTAATATATTAGAACTTATAATATATCAATATAAATCACTAGTATCCTTTTTTTCTCATTTTGTCTATCCAATTGTTCTGATGCCATGCAACCCAAATGGACCATGCCAAATGGGGTCAAGTACATACCAATTATAGTTATGTACTTAGACACTAATCCAACAGTCTCCCACTTGGATAAGTCTAAAACTATTATTGCATATGACTCCAAAACCCAACTAGCAATCGTAGCTCTTAAAGCCGCTGTCGAACTCTGACCTAGTCAATGACTTGTCCATTAGATAAGGGATCATATATTCCTCCATTCTAGATATCATATGGACTGAGACATGGATTATAATCATTCTCTCTGTCCATTTGTTGTTTCCCGATTTCCGATTTATGACGACCGACTAATTGAACAAATCAAATCAGACTAGGCTTGGCCAAGCACTTAGGGGTGTCATCACTAAATCATCGAGGGGCCCACAGATATCGCTTTTATCCCTTCAAGGGTAAAAGGAATGGATAAACTTCGACTCATATGTTTGTTCTACTACTTGTTGAATCATACACAAAGGCACGTTTTATAACATCGAGTTACCAATGCGTTTTCGTGCAATCAATGTATAACCAACTCATAGTCAACAAATCATATCTCTAGGTTTGAAGAATATAAGATATTATCGTCTCATGATCACTCGTGATGAAATCCATGAAGTGATTCAAATGAGCGTGGGTTTACTCCAATACTCAGAACTTATGAGTACTCATGAATGTTGTAGCAACTCTTGCTATGTCCAACACCTTAGACATCTACAAGCCAACTTCATGACAGTCTTGATTCATACCTACTTCCACATATGACCGACTGTGGAGAATTTGAATAACCCAGTTATTCGGGAAGTCAAAACATGCAAAGTGAAACACAAGAATAATACTAATTAAATATGGCCCCAAGCACCTTTGAGAGTAAATAGAACACCTTTTATTTAAACACCATATTGATTACTCATTATTCATTTTATAATGTTTCAAATAATCAACTTTATACTTGAATCAAAACAATAGTCGTGCCATGCTCTAAGCATGCACACTATGTTTGTGTATGATCCTTACTTTGTGGAATAGATCAATTGAACATAATTCCAGTAATTCTCATTTCACAATCCCAAATCGTTACTGTAAATGTAAGAATTCCAAATTCCTGCCATTTACCGAAATCTGTTAGATTCTAAACTTATATGCATTGATCCTCTCGTAATGACTATGCACAAAGTCACAAAGACTTGGCAACAGACTTTATAAAGTATTCCAATGGAGATCATTCCATGGAAACGAAGTCTCAAATTCAAAGTACATTGCTTTGAACATCCTTCTTGCATTAAGTTTTCTAATCTTACACAGATTTAGTGAATAACTTCCACCTATGGAAACATTTCCATATTCCCATTTTGACTATCACTTTTGAACAAGAGTTGCCTCTTTTCAGAATATGTCAATATGGTCTTTTCCAAAAATTACATTATACTTCCAACTGTCCATGAGCAACCAATCTTTGGTAAACCTTAGATTGTCCTCGACAATTGCTTAATCATTTTAGTCATATCCAATTCTAGACTTTTTCCCTCTTAATTGTTAGATTAATGTCTAAGTCCATAACTATAATTGGTATGTACTTGACCCGACTTGGCATGGTCCATTTGGGTTGCACTTCACCGGAACAATTTATACGGATAGTCTTTTGAGAATAATATGTTTTATGATTTATATTAATATATTATAAGTTCTAATATATTAATATGGAATCATATTATTTAATTAGTATTGATCAAGAATTAATTTAGAATGAATTTAGTGGTCAAAAGGAACTAATTAAATATGGACTCTTATATATATATATATATATATATATATATATATATATATATATATATATATATATATATATATATGGAGTGTGCCAATTTCATTTAGGTTGGGCTAACCCATGGATCCTATGGAAATGAAAGGTCATCGGTATTAGGGTTTACATGAATGTAACCCTAATCCTCCATACTATATAAAGAGGTCATTGGCACTTGAAATTGGCACTAGTGTGTGAAAAAAAGTGTGGGCCGATTTTAGTGAGCATACATATTCTCTCAAGTTCTTCCAAGGTGTTTTGGTGATTTGTGATTCCACTTGAGGCTTCCACACTATTGGGGATAAGCTCTTAAAGTTCAAGACTTCAAGCAACATCAAAGGTATGTCATCTAACTAGAACTTTGTAGTATAGTTGCTTCATAATATGCTAGTTACGATGAAACCTTGGAATATTGATTATTTGCATGTATAATAGAGAAAACATAGATCCAAGGTTTATAGGGTTGCATGTACACCATAGGAGTGTTAGAATGCTCAAAACCCAACATTAATGCCCTAGGGATTTGGAAAATTTAGAAAGGATAAATATTATAGCACATGTAATAAATCCTATATCCGAAGCATATGGGACACGATTCATGATGTCTCACATAAAGACATGATCCTAGATCAGTCTTTTGCTACAATATTTTTTATTTGCCATGTTTTCATAATTCGACTATGAAGAGGGATGCCGTAATCATAATCGAATTTGAGAATGCAATATATATAGAATTTCCTTAAGTTGAACCATTCAAATATATATATATATATATATATATATATATATTATATATATATATATATATATATATATATATATATATCATTAACTAAAGATGATTAAAATCTCAATCTAAGCTTTTAGAATTGAAATGAAGTATAATTTCCTCTCCCTTAATTATAGCAAAACAACTTTTTCCCAATTGAAGCTTTTGTTTTGTATAATTAACATTGCTAACTTGCAACACTTATCATGCTCCCACTAATATGATGATTATTAGCATAACACTTATGCTCCCACTAGCTTTGACATGTATCCAGAAATTAGCTGGACTTCTAAAAATCAAAACTTTATTGACTTTCTTACCAAAGTTCAGATTTCTGATACGAGATGCTTTGATAAAACTTTATCAAAATCATACACCTTTCATTAGATAGCTCTCATGTGTGTCTAAAAAATTACGAAGAGGGATTCCATAATCATAATGTTTAGACCTTTTTGCCATTTCTCACAAGTCCATGTTAGTGTGCCGGTTAACTACACACGCTCCACTAAAGACTTTGAGAATGCAAATATCATAATTGATATCTACATAAAATCTACTCAGTGAAAGCGTTTCCTCACCATCATTTTCATGAATCGGAGAGAAAACTTATGACACTTAGATTTTATGGTGTATGTGTTCCTATCCATGTGAATTTGTCAAAACCATAATCACAAGACAAGGTTAGTGACAAATCCAAACTCATATGGACCGAACTTGTGTGCAATCTTAACTTCTTGCCACCTGGCAGCACAAGGGCCTGCCATTGCTTCCAAGTAGTTATGCAAACAACTAAGAACTTATAGAACTCAGATGCATAGTCAACTTTAACTGGGATGGGCACAGAAATAAGAATATGTCAACACGATAGGTTACAGACCTCAAGTCGTGCACTAGTGATAAGCTACAGGTTTTATTCTTGATTAGTTCTTGAAACTCTTTCAGGATCTTTTAGACTCCTACTGTCCTCTTGACATATAAGACTCTCTTGCGAAGTACCATGCCTTGTTAAACAAATATTCAAGAGATAGTGCGGATTCTTATCAAGACAAACACTTCACACAAATTGGCCTTAGTTGGTCTTTGTTTATGCAAAACATCACAGCTTACCAATTTCAAATGTACAAGAGTAGAACACATTTTACTCTTACATTTGACAAGTGTTATAAACCTTCTTTAAGATGTATCACTCAAGTTACAATATTGGAGTATGACTCTAAGACTTGTTTTGGAACGAAGTATGAATCATCTTCTTGATTTAACCATTTCAACAATTCACGACTCCTCTTCTTAGCCATAAGAATGCACTAAGATGTCCCTAGAGGATTAATTGTGATATGGTTTCATAATCATTAAGATGATCATAAAACATGATACTAAAGTACTCTCCCATCTTTTCAGATTTGAGAAACTTTTATCCTTCTGCCTAATTTGATTCTTCTTATTCGTTTTGCCATACATCGAAACTTTTTCAATGTTTCAAGACTTAAACTTGTAAGTATAACCATATTTACTAAACTTTAGTAAATCATGACGAATAGTCTTATCGATCTTTTGTGGTGGGCTTGACCAGTGCACAAGAATGTGTACTCGATCCCTTTAGTCCTTCACTTGACTCACATATACATGTGAACAAGGAATTAGTCTTAATTTTCCAAAGATGAAAATTCTCATTCATCATACGTGTAACAACGTAAATTCCAAAACAATTTTTCACTTTTAAAAATATAATTTCATTCATAAATATTATCCATATCAATGTATCACATATCAAATCCATAAAAATTCATCCCAAGATCACAATACATAAAAACTCCACAAGTGTGTACTGATCATGTCGGCGCCTTCCCGCGATCCTCACTGGTACCTGAAACACATAACACAAAACACTGTAAGCATAAATGCTTAGTGAGTTCCCCAAAATACCACATATAACACATATTAGCCACTCGAGGCTATAACTCTGTGGGCCCACGGGCCCTAACTCTGTGGACCCTCTGGTCCTAACTCTGTGGACCTTCCGGTCCTACCTCTGTAAACTCTGGAATACACACATCATAAATCACATAGAAATAATGCAGTGCAACACATAACATACATAGCATACAAGATACTCTGTCACATAACTCTACTTACCACTCAAGGTAAAGTGTAGTGAGAAGACTCACCTCGGATAACTCGGTAAACCTCGAACTCGGAAATACTGATCTAGCCTTCGCCTAATCACATAAAATAATTACTCTAGTTAATACGACTTTCAAAGACTAGGCTAATCCCTCTCTAAGTTCTGTAAGAAGGGTAAAAGACCATTCTACCCCTCCAATGGCTCATAAGTCCAAACATTGGCTCAACCCTAAAAGTCAACGAAGTCAACTCTAGTCAACGGTCAAGCTTTGACCAGACTCGTCGAGTGCATACAGGCGACTCGGCGAGTCCACACGGGTCCTCTGAATCCTTCTAAGCCTCACTTGGCACGTCGAGTCCTTCATTCACTCGTCGGGTCACTCTGCAACGAATCGCGGGGCAACCCCGACTCGACTTGTCGAGTCCACTTATGAACTCGACGAGTTTCTTCCATGGCAACACTCAAATGACCTTCTGAGGTCAGATCTGCTTCTCTAAACTATAGATCTGACTTCCCCACGACCAATAACCACGTAAAGGTCGAATCATGACTCACATGCAACGCACCCAAGGCTTCTTTTGGTGAAATAACTACTAAAATGGCCACCAAGGCTCATAACTCCAAAGGGGTGGCATAAAGCAGAGTGATAGGGACTCCCTGGACCTCTTAAGGTCCAGATCTAAGAATCATTTCACCTTGGGACCTCACACACTCCATATTCAAGCTAAATAATGCATAAAGAAACCCTATATTCCACTAAATCATCATAAACACGAGAATAAGCACAGATTGATACCTCCAACAGCTTCCTCTGATCAAATGGAAGTAGATCCAAGCTCCCCAACCCGCCTAGCTTGTCCTTCCTCCTTTCTTCTTGCTAAAACACACAAGAAATGGTGAATAATTGCCTCCTTTCTCACTCACAAGACTCACAGCTGCTCTGGCACTCTCAAGGACGAAGGTAGCCGCAAATAAGGGCCATAAGATCCTTTAAATAGGGTACAGGCCCGGGGATTTAGGGTTTCAGCCCACAGCGCGGACTCTTCGAGTCCACCCTTTCCGACTCGTCGAGTCCATTCATTAATCCAGTCAGCAAATCGCGATCCTACTCGACGAGTCCGAGCGTCAACTCGTCGAGTCCCTCTCTTTAACTCAAAATAAATGATCAAACATAAAACCTGGAAATCTGGATGTTACAATTCTCTCCCACTAGAATCAGACTTCGCGCTCGAAGTCTTGCCCTACAAATAACTCTGGATGTTGCTCCCGCATCTCTAATTCCGGCTCCCAAATCAGCTCGGACCCTCTCCGATGTTGCACTGGACTTGTACCAGGGGCACCTCCTTGTTCCTCAGAACCTTGATCTTTCGATCCATAATCGCAACTGGCCTCTCAACATAATTCAGGCTCGCATCCACCTGAATATCCTCCAACAACACCACCGCCGACTCGTCGGCTATACACTTCCTCAGCTGAGACACGTGGAAGGTATCATGAATCTGACCCAACTCCGCAGGTAGCTCCAAACGATATGCTACCCTGCCCACCCTGGCGGTCACCCTGAACGGACCAATGTACCGGGGCCCCAGCTTGCCCCTCTTCCTGAATCGGATCACTCCTTTCCAAGGAGATACCTTCAGGAGTACGAAATCTCCCACCTGAAACTCCAGCTCGGATTGTCGCCTATCCGCATAACTCTTCTGGCGACTCTGAGCAGTCAACAACCTCTGCCTGACCTGCTGTATCTGCTATGTCGTCTGAAGCACTAACTCAGTGCTACCCAACACTCGCTGCCCCGACCTCTCCCCAGCAGATAGGAGTCTGACACCTCCTCCCATACAGTAACTCAAAGGGAGGCATACCGATACTCGAATGGTGGATGTTCTTATAAGAAAACTCAGCCAACGGCAAATACGTGTCCCGACTTCCTCCAAAGTCCAACACACATGCTCGAAGCATGTCCTCGAGCGTCTGAATCATCCGCTCACTCTGTCCGTCCATCTGTGGGTGGTATCTGGTACTGAAATGCAGCCTCGTACCCAACTCCTCATGGAATTTCTTCCAGAACCTGGAAGTGAATCGCACATCTCGATCTGACACAATCGAGATCGGTACTCCATGCCGCGATACCACCTATCTCACATACAATTCTGCCAGCCTATCTATGGAAGAGCTCATACTGATGGCAAGGAAATGAGCGCTCTTCGTCAGCCGGTCAACGATCACCCAAATTGCATCGACACCCCTCGCAGTCCTCTGCAATTTGGTGATAAAATCCATGGAAATCTGTTCCCACTTCCACTGGGGAACCTCAAGTGGCTGCAACTTGCCATACGGACGCTGGTGCTCGGCCTTAACCCTGCGACAGGTCAAGCACCTCTCCACGAACCACGCAACATCCCTCTTCATACAGGGCCACCAATAGTCTCTCTTCAGGTCCAAATACATCTTAGTGGCCCCGGGATGGATCGAGAACCTCGATCTGTGCGCCTCCTCCATCAGAATGGTACGTGCTCCGCCCTCAAATGGCACCCAAATCCGACCCTGAAAGGTCATAAGCTCTCGGCTATCGGCAACGAACTCAGACATCTGCCCGATCACCCGCTCTCTCTTGCGGTTCTCCGGCCTCAAGGCCTCAACCTGAGCCTCCCGAATGGTGTCCAACACCGGAGTCATCACCGTCAACCTCAAACAAACATCACGTATCGGGGCACTCTCCGCTCTACGACTCAGGGCATTGGCTACAACGTTAGCCTTGCCCGGGTGGTACAGGATCTCACACTCATAATCCTTTACCACATCCAACCATCTCCTCTGGCGCATATTCAGGTTGGGCTGATCCATCAAATACTTCAAGCTCTTGTGATCCGTGTATATGGTACACCGGACCCCATACAGATAGTGACGCCAGATCTTGAGGGCGAACACCACAGCCCCCAACTCCAGATCGTGAGTAGGATACCTCGCCTCATGAGGCTTCAGCTGCCTCGATGCGTATGCTATCACATGCCCTCTCTGCATTAGCACCGCACCCAATCCCAATATCGACGCGTCATAATACACTACAAAATCCTCCATCCCCTCCGGAAGGGATAACACCAGGGCTTCGCATAATCTCTGGCGAAGTGTCTCGAAGGAGGCCTGCTGCTCTGGGCCCCAACTAAAAGCCACACCCTTCCGGGTCAACCTGGTGAGAGGAACAGCAATCTTGGAGAAATCTTTAATAAATCTCCTATAATAGCCGGCCAACCCCAGAAAACTCTTAATCTCGGTGGGGGATCTCGGCACCTCCCAACTCATCACCGCCTCTATCTTGGCCGGATCGACCAATATCCCATTCTGATTAACGATATGTCCCAGGAACTGGACCTCTCGTAACCAGAAATCACACTTGGAGAATTTGGCGTAAAGCCTCTCCGATCTCAGAACTCCAAGGATCTCCCTCAAATGCTCCTCATGCTGCTCTCTGGATCTCGAATACACCAATATATCATCAATGAACACTATCACCGAACGATCCAACATCGGTCTGCACACCCTGTTCATGAGATCCATGAACGCCGTCGGTGCATTGGTGAGCCCGAAAGGCATCACCACGAACTCGTAATGCCCATAACAAGTCCTGAACGTCGTCTTCTGGATATCCTCATCACGCACTCTCATCTGATGATATCCAGACCTCAGATCGATCTTGGAGAACCAAGACGCTCCCTGCAACTGATCGAACAAATCATCGATCCTCGGTAAGGGGTAACGGTTCTTGACCGTTAACTTGTTCAACTCCCGGTAATCAATGCACATCCGGTGTGAACCATCCTTTTCTTTACAAAAAGGATCGGCGCTCCCCATGGCGAGCTACTCGGCCGAATAAACCCCTTCCCCAGCAGCTCCTGAAGCTGCGAGGATAACTCCTGCATCTCTGGAGGCGCAAGGCGATAGGGCGCCTTGGCAATAGGCGCTGCCCCCGGAACCAAATCGATACGGAACTCTACTTGCCTCTCGGGAGGCACACCCGGCAACTCCTCGGGGAAAACATCCGGGAACTCACGCACTATCGGAACCTCATCGACCGATCTCGGCCTCTCCGCATCAAACCTCGTATCCATCACATAAGCCACAAACCCACTACAGCCCTGCTGTAGGCTCTGCCTCGCTCTAGCGGCCGAACAAAACGCTGACCCAGAACGGGTACCCTCGCCGTACACCGTAAGAACTCCCCCACTAGGGTCTCGTATGGTCACCAGCTGTCGCTCGCAGTCGATAACCGCTCCAAATCTGCTCAACCAGTCCATGCCCACGATGACACAGACATCTCCCATCGCAATCGGGACCAAATCAATCGGAAACTCAACGCCGAAGATCTCGAGTACACATCCTCGAATCACATCAGTGGCATACACCGCTCTCTCGTCAGCTATGGAAACTCGCAGAGGTTGACTCAACGCCTCTCGACGGATACTGATGTGCTGACTAAAGGCTAATGATACAAAAGATCGACTCGCACCCGAGTCAAATAACACCAAGGCAGGTACAGAACTCACAAGAAAAGTACCTACGCATATCATAATATAAGCACAATATCTCAAACTCAAAATAAATACATGAAGGAATACATACCAGCCACGACATCGGGCGCTGCGCGGACCTCCTCGGCTGTCAACTGGAAGGCTCTCCCTCGAGCCTTCGGTGCCTCGGCCTTCACCCGCTGACTCTCGGTATCTTGTACAGTAGCAGGGGCAGATCCCTGCGATGCTCCCTGTGCTGACCCCGCAGCTGCGGACACTCGGCCTTCGGTGTCCGGTCTGGTTGCAGTGGAACAGACTGCAACCCCTTGGGGCAATCCTTGGCCATGTGCCCCTCCTTGCCACACTTCTAGCAAGACCCTGCTCTACAAATCCCCTCATGACTCTTGCCGCACTTGCCACAAGTGCGGCCCTTCTGGTTCCCTGATCTCGAATCGGCGGGCTTGGCCCGCTTGGCTGCCGGCTGGGACTGTGCCGGTCGCCGATCCTTCTCCTGAGACTCCGCCTCCTCCCTAACCTGAGTCTCAAGCTCTATCTCCCTCTTCCGAGCATTCGCCTGAAGCTCGGCAAATGTCCGGTACGACGAGTTCGCCACGAACTCGCGGATGTCTCTCCTCAAAATGCTCAAATACCGACTCATGCGTGCCTGCTCGGAAGACACGTGCTCAGGGCAGAACATCGCCCTCTCATGGAACATCCTGGTGATCACAGTAACAGACTCAGTACCCTGCTTGAGGGTCAAGAACTCCTGGTCCAACCGTTCCCTTTCCACCGGGGGAACGTACCCATCACGAAACATAGCGGTGAACCTCTCCCAGATCACCACGGCAAGCTCTGCAGAAGAATAGTGCGTTGTCACAAACTTCCACCAGTCCTTCGCTCCCAAGCGAAGCTGGTTCAGCGTGAACCGAACTTTTAGATTCTCCGGGCAAGAACACGTATAGAAGCATCCCTCGATGTCAGAAACCCATCTCTTCGCAGCAATCGGATCATGCGTCCCATCAAACTCCGGTGGCTTCGTATTGCTGAACTCCCGGAACAGCAACGCATCACCACCCTGAGGTCTAGCAGCAGCAACAGCTGCGGTAGCTGCAGCCTCAGTAACTGCTGCGTATCTCTCATCAAAGGTCTCAATCAATGTGGTCTTAATAGACCCAAACATCTCTGGAATCTCTGCGCGGATAGCCGCAACCACCTCCACGTGGATCATCTGATGAAGCTCCTCGTCACTCACACCACTGGTCTCTGGTCTGTGGCGTGTCCCAACCATGATGTCTCTGAAATACAACATAAGAAATATCAGAGACTCGCCCGAGCATACTCACACTCGATATCTTAGCTCTACTTGTTCCTTAATACCCTAAGGATTCTTACTTGGACTGCGCACTGATCCGATGTCTTCAGTAGTACGGGCCCAATACTACCGTCCCCACCGCATCAGTATTCACCCCAAGTCCTCCTCCTAGGGTTCCAAATCCCAAGTACTCTACTCTCACTATGCATAAGCTACTCTCTAGCAGACCTCTCATAAGCTCTTCGCTGCTATCTACTCACTCTCAAGCATCTCCTAGCAGCAAAACCCCTAGGCTAAGGCATCACAAATCAGGCCACTCTAGTCCTAATAAGAATACCTAGCCTACTCTAGCATGCATAACATATCCTATCACATCTCATAACACATAATATAAGGGTATTTTGGGAAATCACCATTCGGGCGTTGGCTGATCGTACACACTGCTCCGCTCTGCTCTTTTCAAAACCTTTTTATTCTTTTAGAAAAAGTTTTGTTTTATTTTGAAAAGTTTCTCAAATCCTCAGTTTGAGTTCAAATGCGCCCGAAGGTGCATCCGAAT